ATATAGGCAAATTTTGAGCGTAAAATTAGATTTAAAGGGGAAGTATTTTAGTATTAGACAAACCTGATCAAAGGCCTCGTTAAACGAGTCCTCCGTGTGAAGACTTTCGTCTGAAGCCGAGTCGGCGCCGAGATCATCGTGATTTGCGAGCCGATCAGCATTAAGAGGATGATCATAGTCGTAACCCGTGTCGTCTGGGAAGTCAACTTTGGCGTCATTATCATTGGGTTGTCTCTTCTCAGTAAAGGCAAAGGGAGGAGGTCCACTGGCGGCTTGATATGGCAGATAGGTGGTTTCGCTGATGGCTTCGTGTCTTGTGACGAGAAGGGTGGGAGCTGTCACTTTAAGCCGATTGTCGATCTGGTTATTATGGGTCTTTGTAACTTTACACAGCACAACCTCAGGAACGTGGGGACGAGGTTTTCGCCGGAAGAAGGAACGAAACCGACCTTTTCGGTGGTTTCGGATTGTTACTGTGGGTTCGGGGGGAACAGTAGATTCCTTTAAACTCCCATCCTGGGTTTTGGATTCGATGTAGGATGATTTGTTATTAGAAGTATCAACATCGCCGAGGGCGGGAACCGCGACTGCAGCCGATGACGGTTTTCCACCGGAGTCCTTAGCGGTTATAGTCTTTTCAGCTTTGCTTGGCTCACGATGCTTGGAGGCACAGCATAAAAGTTGTCTCCAGTTGAGTTGCGACTGAGGTTGAGCCCGTTTTTTTACGGGCACATCGGATGCGGTAACGGAGGGAGTTGTAGGGGGCGCCGCGGTGTCAGACACTTCAGGGGCCGGGGAAATTGGGGGAGAGGGTTGCGGTGTCGCAGATGGTTGGCTGACCTGTTTGTGCGAGGTGACCTTTGGTCGTGGGTCAACTATGGGCAAAATATCGAGCAATTGGTAAATGCAAAGAAGCAGAGCTTAGAATGTACACACAGTGCTATTTCAAAACCTGAATAAATGTCCATTTAACCTGCCAGGTGGGACATGGACACGGACTTAGCCCGGTATCAGTGGAGA